AGGTGATTCCTTTCTTACAAGGGGCTTATTCTCCACAGAGATCAGGCTTTTGGTCACCCCACTTAGGTAAGCCACTTAGACCAAAACAAAAATACAAGCCAAGGGCGGCCCTCAAGCGACTGATCTAGAACTCACACTGTCTTTTCAAAGAAGGAAAGAAGGTAGGAAGGTGGGAAGGAAAAAGAAAGAAGGAAAAATGAAGGAAGGAAAAGAGAGATAAAGTAAGGTCAATAGAAGAGAAGGAAAGAGAGAGGAAGGGAGAAAGAAGAGCCTATTTAAAAGGGTCTGTTGCTCAGAGAAACTTCTGGGAACCGCCCAAAGCAACTCAAATCCTCTCTGAGAAAATATTCCTCATCCTTAGGCCTTAAAGTCCTTGCAAAAATAAAATTCCAGTGAACATACTCTCACATTCCAAAGCAGAGATTTTTAGAAAGAACCCCACATAAATAAAAGAAAGCTGAAAGAAGAAACAGTAAAATCAATCTTTAAAACAATGAAGCTATTTACCAGATCTATAATATCATAAAAGTATGAATAAATTTTCAAATAAAATAAAGGGGGAAATGAAGCTAAGGAACAAGAAATTATCAAAAATGATCTACCTGCTTTTTAAAAAATTGGTTAAAATTAACCTCCAGAGATAAGCTATATAAACATTTAGATATAAAATATAACATACACATTTAACCAACAGATTAGAAACAAGTGAAGAAAGAATTAATGATCTGGAAAAACTACCTATAATTTATCACAAATGTAGATCAAAAATAACAAAAAAGGATTAAGAGCTGTTAGAAGAGAGGAAGAAGTTGTAATATATGACTAGTTGGAGTTCCAGAAAGAGGAAATATAAAAAATAGCGTGCTCATAATTGATGGGAAAAAAATTATTCATTCATCCAACATATATATATATATATATATTTGAGACAAGAGCCTCAAGCTGTCCCCCTGGGTAGAGTAATGTGGCATCACAGCTCACAGCAACCTCCAACTCCTAGGCTCAAGCGAGTCTCCTGCCTCAGCCTCCCAAGTAGCTGGGACCACAGGTGCCCACCACAATGCCCGGCTATTTTTTCATTGCAGCCATCATTGTTGTTTGGCGGGCCCGGACTGGACTTGAACCCGCCACCTTGGGTGTACGTGGCTGGCGCCTTAGCCACTTGAGCCTCAGGTGCCGAGCCATCCAACATATATTTTTCAGTGTTTGTTACACAGCTCAGAGTGTTCCAAAACTGGTGTTATAGCAAAGATCAACACAAAAACTAAAGTTAAAAATTGCTGCCATCATAGCTAGGGAAGATGGCTCATGCCTATAATCCTATTATTTTTGGAGGCTGAGGCAGGAGGATCATTTGAGACCAAAAGTTGGAGATCAGTGTGAGCAACACAATAAGACCCTGTCACCACAAAAACTACAAAAATTAGTGGTATTTGGTCGGCATACACCTGTAGTCCCAGCTACAGCTGCAGCAAGCTATAATGACACCACTGCACTCCAGCACAGGCAACAGAGCAAGACCCTGTTCCAACAACAACAAAATGCTGCCATCATGAACTTACACTCTGACATAGAGGATGTAGACAGTAAACGAGATAACTAAAATGCACAGACTATGAAATATTGATAAGTGCAAAGATTAAATTAAGGTATGGGAAATAGTAGGGTCATGAATTGCCCTTTTTTTTCTTTTTTGAGACAGTCTCACAATGTCACCCTCAGTAGAGTGCCAAGGTGTCACAGGTCACAGCAACCTCCAACTCTTGGGCTTAAGCAATTCTCTTGCCTCAGCCTCCCAAGTAGCTGAGACTATAGGCACCCACCACAACGCCCGGCTATTTTTTTGTTGCAATTGTCATTGCTGTTTAGCTGGCCTGGGCCAGGTTCAAACCCACCAGCCTGGATGTATGTGGCCAGTGCCCTACCCACTGAGCTACAGGCACCAAGCCTGGATTGCCATTTTAGATAGTGTGTTTAGGGAAAATCTCAGAAATTGAGTTATTTGCATCATGGTCTGAAAGAAGTAAGAAACTATGCTGATAGATGTTATGGTACAGATTCAGTATTCCAAGCAGAAGAAAAGCAATTATAAAATCTATAAAAATGCATATTAATTTTTAGGAAAATCATAAACACCAGAGCATTGTAATAGAAGGAGCACAGGGCAAAGAGAGTGATAGAGGGTACAATCTCACAGATAATGGGGGTGGGAGGTCCATATTGGACCATGTAGGCTCATATAAAAACACTGGCTTTTAAGCAATCCTAAGCAGAAAGGACAGATCTGAAAGCATCACATTACTCAAATTAAAATTATACTACAAGGCTATAGCAATCAAAACAGCATGGTACTGGTATAAAAGTAGACACATAGATCAATGGAGCAGAATAAAGAACCCCAAAATAAAACCACACACCTAAAACCAACTGATCTTTGATAAAGCATTCAAAAACATACACTGGGAAAAGGATGCCATGTACAATAAATGGTGCTGGGACAATAACCACATGCAAAAGAATGAAGGTGGATCCCTATCTCTTACCATATACAAAAATATTAACTCAAGATGGATTAAAGAGTTAAATGTAAGACCTGAAAGCATAAAAGTTCTAAAAGAAAACCTAGGAAAAACTATTCTTGACACTGGGATAGGCAAAATATTTATAACTAATACCCCAAAAGCAAATAAAACAAAAATAAATAAATTGGATTTAATAAAACTATAATATTTCTGCAGAGCAAAAGAAATAACAAAATAAACAGACAATCTACAGAATGGGAAAAAATATTTGCAAACTACACATATCCCACAAAGGAATAATATCCAGAATATACAAAGAACTCAAAAAAAAATCAGCAAGAAAGAAAAACCTCATTAAAAAATATGCAAACAACATGAACAGTCATTTTCAACAAACTCCAACTCGTGGCCTCAAGTAATCCTCCTACCTCAGGCTCCGAAAGACTGTAATTACAGTATGGTACATGAGGAAAGAGTTCTTGATTTAAAGCCAGATATGTCTGCATTTGATTCCCACATCCAACAGAAACTAAGCATTGACTCTTCAAAAATTTGCTTTATCACTCTGAATATTAGATGTTGTGATGATTAAAAATGTCAGTTTTTTGGTTTGTTGGGGTTTTTTGTTTGTTTTGGTTGGTTGGGGGTTTTTTTGGGGTTTTTTTTTTTTTCTGTTTTTGGCTCAGGCCAGGTTTGAACCTGCCGGTATATGGGGCCATCACCCCACTCCTTTGAGCCACAAGAGCTGCCCAAAATACTTTTTTTTTTTTTTTTTGACACGGAGCCTCAAGCTGTTTGCCCTGGCATCACAGCTCACAGCAACCTCCAACTCCTGGGCTTAAGCGATTTTCCTGCCTACACCTTCCAAGTGGCTGGGACTACAGGCACCTGCCACAACACCCAGCTGTTTTTTGGTTGCAGCTATCATTGTTGTTTGGGGGGCCCAGGCTGGATTTGAACCCACCAGCTCAGGTATATGTGGCTGGTGCCTTAGCCTCTTGAGCCATAGGTGCCAAGCCCAAAATACCATTTTTTAAAACACTCAACAATATTGGACATATAAGTGCTTAATAAAAAAATTTAATTGTGTTGGCTTGGTGCCCATAGCTCAGTGCTTAGGGTGCCAGCCACATACACCCTAGCTGGAGGGTTTGAATCCAGGCTGGATCTACTAAACAGTAATGACAACAACAACAAAATAGCCAGGTGTTGTGGCAGGCACTTGTAATCCCAGCTACTTGGGAAGCTACTTGAGGCAGAAGAATCGCTTAAGCCCAAGAAGCTTGAGGTTGCTGTGAGCCATGATACCACAGCACTCTACTAAGGGTGACACAGTAAGACTCTGTCTCAAAAAAATATTTATTTTTAATTGTGGCTGGGTGTGGTAGCTCACACCTGTCATCCTAGCACTTTGGAGACAGGAGAATTCCCTTGTGGTAAGGACTTTGAGACCAGCCTAAGCAAGAGGAAGATCCCTCCTCTACAAAAAATTTTTAGAGAGCTGTAAAAATCAGCTGACGTTGGGTCATGCCTTTATTCCCAGCTACTGAGGAGGCTGAGGCAGGAGGATTGTTTGGGTTCAAGAATTTGAGTTAGTAGTGAGCTATGAGAATGCCACTGTACTGCAGTCTAGCCCAGGGAAATGGAGGGAGACCTTGCCTCTAAATTAAAAAAAAAAAAAAATTAATTATATTGATTTTAAATTTTGTTAATATGATAAATAATAACTGCCTTAACATTCATGAAGAAACTGGCACAAATGTTTCACCTAATACTGAAATAGCATTTTTCCAAAAAAAAAATCTGTATTTTCCATTTAACCCTGAAACGCAATATTTTCTAAGCATTAAAGGGATTACATGGTAGGTCAGATTACAGGAATGGATGTTTCTGAGTGGTCTTTTCTCTAGAATCCCTGAAATTACAAGAAAACATTAGCTCTAAAGGTAACCCACCTTTGAAATTCTATTCCCAGCGTACCATTTTTTCCTAGTAAGTTACTCATTTTTTCCTCTCGCCTGCCCAGCTAGAGGACTACAAAAGCATTTCCCCCAGGGACCTACCAGCCACAGCCTCCGCCATTGGGCAGGCGCACAACCCTCCGCCTCAAGGGGGCGGACCTTAGCGTGACGCTCTGCGACTCCTGCTCCGGGTCCTTCGCTCGCAACACAATTGGCCCTCAGGGCGCATCCGGAAGGGCGCTTCGAAGGCTGGGAAGGCTGGGAAGGCTGGGAAGGCTGAAGACTCCCAACACGCGAGGCTGACCCAAGCCGCGAGTGCGACTCGGGGCAGCCTGGACTGTGACCATCCAGGGAGGAGCCCACTCTCCCAAACTACCAGGACTCGTCTCGCGTCGCGTGGTTCTGCGTCCGCCACAGCCCTCCTCACCTGTCATTGACATTTGTCACCTGGTCGAGGACCGCACTGCCCAAGTTGTCTGTCAGGCCCCGGAGCGCCGCCTGGAACGCCATCGAGATGATGGGCAGTCGACCCCGAAGCCCCAGCGCCGGCCCCGCACCCTGGTGGAGACCGCAGCCCGGAGGACCCGGCCCTGCCAAGCGCCCTCGACTGGAGGAGACACTCGCCCTCGAGCCCAGCTCCGGATCCAGCCTGGAAGACTCGGTGGGGCCCTCGACCGCGGACACCCTTACCTCCGTCGTGGTCCTGGCCGCCGGCTGTGCCTTGCAAGTGCCCCTGGACGACGTCGACCTGGTGCTGGAGCCCGAGCCAACCTCAGTCCTGCAAGTATCCTTCGAAGGGCACACCCTCATCCTGGTCCCCGAGGTCCTCCTAGGGTCGGTCGACGAACACCTGGGAGGGCAAGGCGACTCGCCCGTCGGCCTGGAACCCGGTGTTTTCCTGGGTGCTCCTGGGGAAGAAATCGTCCTTGAGCAGCCATTCTTCCTCGAGTCTGTCCCAGACATCGCCGCCCAAAAGGGGGCCTTCCACGACGACGCTGAGCCCTTCGTCCAGGCGCCCTGGATGGAACCTCCAGCTGGCTTAGCTGCTGGGCTCCAGCCATCTGCTAGAAGGGTGTCCGGCCCCTACCCTCAGGGCCGGGTCCCAGAACCCTCTCCTCCGGTCCTCAATCCTAGTCCAGGGACACGCTCCCCAAACCCCATGTTTGACCTGGAATTCCACCTTCTGGAGCCTTTCCCCAGCTCACCACTCCAACCTCTACCTCCTTCTCCAAGTCCAAGTCCACGTCCCCACGCGCGACCAGAGCACTCTCCTCAGCCTCCGTGCAAGGCCCGGAGATGCTTGTTTCCGGAATGAACCCTTCTCTCCTCCAACACACAACCTGGGCCACTGCGGCCGGATGGGACTGCCAGAATCCTTATCATGGACTAACCAACAAACTGGAAATTGAGCATCTCGTGTGCAGACAAATGCTCTTTCCATGCACACTCCCAATAGTGGGAGATGAAAACGTCGTGAAGAGAAGGCAGATTCTGGACCTAATCTTTGACATTGAAAATCTACTCAGGAATACCAGAAAATGTGTTTTCAGATTTCCGAATTTCACAAGATTATCAGACCCCTCCATTTCTCCTCGTTTTGTCTCAAATTCACTACTTAGCACCACACCGCTGCTCCCGTTTCCCCTCAAGTCAAGAGATCACTGGATTTCTTATGTTGTAAGTTTTCTCGTATTTTCTCATGAATTTATAAAGACTCTTAGCCGTGATTTTTCTCTTTATTGGTGTTTCCAACTACTCTCCCCCGTAACTGCCACATAGTATGAAGGTTACTGTGCATGACTGTGTGGTGTTTGTTCATAGCAACCTCTTATCCTGCTGAAGTTCTCGTAATTTCATGTATGCATGAAATTAAATTGAATTTATGAGATGTTTTCAGCATGCATTGAGATATGTATTTGAATGTGTTCATTTGATGAGTTCACTCAATTGACAGATGGAAAATGTTTGCATTCCTGCTGTTCCACATTATTTTATACCTTATAATCATAACCTGAGTTTTTTCTCATGAAAACCAAACTTATAACTTTAAAATGCTAACTTATTACCATGTTTTTCATATTCTTGTAAAGGAAATAAAATATTCTGACAAAGTTGAAATCAACAAGATTATTTCAATTTACTTTAAAACATCAGTTAAGCATTCAAATTTGTCACCATACTTTACTAATTCTTTTGTCCCTTTTTATTCTACACTCTCTCAGTGTAGTCTCAATTTTCTTATTACTGAAGAATATCCTTTAATATTTCTTTCTAGTATATCCTATGTGTGGTATACTAACTTGGTTTTGAAGTCAGGAAAAGGTTCCGTGACAGGATTGGGGGTTTTTTTGGTTGGTTTTTTTTTTTTGAAACAGAGTCTCAGTTTGTGACCCTGGCTAGAATGTGATGTCATCATCATAGCTCACAGCAACGTCAGTCTTTTGGGCTCAAGCAATCCTCTTTGACTCAGTCTCCTGAATAGCTGTGACTACAGGCGCACACAACACTCAGCTAATTTTTTTCTTTTTAGTAGAGACAGGTCTCCCTCTTGCTCAAGCTGGTCTTGAACTCCTGAGCACAAGCATTCCACACACCTTGGCCTCCCAGAGTACTAGGATTACAGGCGTGAGCCTGTGTCCAGCCTCTGACAGCGTCTTGCTATGTTGCCCAAGAGTGAGATACCACACCCAGCTTTTTTTTTTTAGATTACTTTTCCTTGTTTTTCCTTTTATTTTTTCTGTCTCTGCTGCTTGAATCAGAATGCATCTTGCTTTTTCTTTTTGGGTTTTTTTTTAATTTTCACTTAGCTCTTTATCTCAGAGATATTTCCCCATCAATACACAGAATATTCTCATTCTTTTTCTCTGCTGCATGGTATTCCATTATATGGATAGAGCATCAATTATTTATCTAGCCCCCTGTTGCTAGGGTAGTCATACAATCTGTCATCCAAACTGGGACACCTTTGAGAGTGAAGGAGGACTCTATTATTAATTATACTGGGGAAAAGGTATAAACCAAGGCTGTCTCAAAAAAACTGTTAGCCTATGAATTATGAACATAAGAGTTGTTCCCCTGTTTTGCTATTAGAACAATGCTGTAATTATTTTATATGTATATATAGGATGGATATATAGAGAGAATGTGTATGAGAGAGAGAGAGAGAGAGACAAAGTCTCACTCTGTTGCCCAGGCTGGATTACAATAGCATCATCATAGCACAAAGCAGTGTCAAACTCCTGAACTCTTAGTCCATTGTTTTGCCATTTTTGGTTATTGTTGTAGGATTATCTTTTGTCAGTCAAGTTGTTATTCCTTTTATGTATGATTTGGATGTTCATTTTAGTATATATTAAAATGTTTATTTTTCTTTGGCATTCTACAGTTTTACTGTAATATGTCTCGAGGTAAACCATATTTTTATTTGGTTCCATAGAATTTAGTTAACTATCAATATTGGAAATTATCTTTTGCCTGAAATCCCACGGAATCTTAGGCCCTAATTCTTGGAATATCCCACACATCCCCATTTTGGAAATTCAGTTAGATATATAATGACACTGCACAACCTCCCATGATTCATAACATTTTAATATCACATGTGTATGTGTGTGAGCATGTATACAGCTTATCAATTCCAACTTCCTTTATTCCTCAATCCAATAAACCCCTTTATGTTGACTGCTTCTAATATTTGGTTTATACATCTATAAGA